TCCCAGTCCTAAAACTCAATTTTTTTTGGAAACCTAAGTTAACCGAAATTTGAATAAAGCATACTGGGTAATTTGTTTTACAAAATTGCACATTATGTAGCATTTTGAGTGTTTTTTAGGTTAATTATATTTTGTTGTTAGATTCTAATAGTTATTTTTGTCATGAATAAGTATACAATTAATAGGTATTAATTATAACATACATCCATTATTAATTGTTTTAATTGAGAAGCGACCTCTAAATCTTGTGTAGGATGCTACTATGTCATTTTATTTACCAGTAAAAATACAAGTCAATATCCGTAAATATAAAACCGTTTTAACACTATCATATAAACTTACTAATAGATTAATTTTTAATAAATCATAGTATGTATTTTGTTTATTGATTTCCGTTTATTCGGTGGCAAAGAAAACGTTACTCAAAAAAAAAAATTGGCTAGAAAAAAAAGTTGTATCAAGCCCAAAAACTAAAAAACATATTATAAATTGCTGGTTATTAACTAACAAATAGTTCCAAACCATTTCTGAACGTGGCGGAAACAATATTAGGTGGTAAAAAAATTAATATGAGTAAATAAGTAGGTATCTAGTATCTACCTGCTTACTCTACAGTTCTACACATTGTTTCACAAATATTATTTTTCTTATTTATTCCTCAAGAAAATAATGGGCTAAGGATCTTATTAAGTATTATAGTAGTCCGATAAAAATCAATGTCTATACGAATTCATTTTAGAAAAATCACACTTCTCGCCCAATACCACGTCTTGGTCAAGACAAAATATATAAATAACGTTTAGAACTTAAGACTTTTGGGGCAAAAAAATGGGAATACTGGAAATTTATTATAATACATGGAATGTCTATATTTAAAGTATACAACTTAGTAATAAAATACAGAATTTAAAATAACATTTTCGTTTTCTAAATAATTAAAACAAAATTTGATTTATTAAGTCTTGTTAAACTAAAAGTCAAAAACTTTTATTCTTACATCACCTAGAAAAGAACCTGATAAATGCATACATACATTCAAAACAGTAACCTGGCATCAAGAACTACATAAACTAACCTTCCACTTTTTCGTCCAAAACCACATAACAGCCTTAACATTTTTTCAATAGTTTAAAAAAAACGATTGTGCATAATATTTTTATGTGATCGATGTGAGGACAGGTGATGATGGTGGTATACTCCCTAATCCTATAGGTTTCTACTGTTTGTCGATTATGCCACAAAATGTGCACCATCCCCCTTCCCATCTATAATTTATGAATGTAAAAATGTTTTCATCAAGAAGCATCATGATCATAGGATTCAGTGCATAATGCTTTTCCGTTGATCGGAGTAATTGGAAAATAATGAGAAAAAAGTTTTACAACATGACCACAACATTTGTTACAAAAAATAACAATTCAACAAAAATATCGATTTTATTCACATCCATCGTACTTTTCAGTGGTTATTATGTACCACTGCTTACACTCATTCACAGCCCACTTCACGCCATCGCGCATCGATATACATTATACATCATACACCATAATATAATAAAATACAAAAGGTGCCAGGAAAATGAAAAAATGATGGTGATGAACCTAAATTGCCTATTCATAACGCCGTGTAACCATAATAATTTTAGATTTTGAGCGAAGTGATGAGTGTATTCATTTTATAATGTTTTTTTTTTACTGTCTATCATCATTGTTTAGGGCAGTAAAAATGCTTTAAATTTCTACTTCAGCATCTTTTTTGGTAGTAAAGTAATTCTAGTCGGCACTTGGGGGGTCAAAAGTAAAAAAAAGCAAGTAATTAGTAATTACACTAATTAGTTATTTTGTTGTAACTTAAAACTTTTATATAAGGATACTTGAATTTTTTAAGTACATATATTGTTATATTGTACACACTCTATGATATTTTAAAATTCAATGTTTAAAACAAGTATACATATAGTCTGATAGCTGAGTCTACTCAAAATCGGATTTCGTATATAATGATTTTATATCATTGAATTCAAATTCAACACATCCATTACAGTGACCGTCAGTCGACACGACTCATAATGTACAGCAGAGTTGTACCCTTTTGCCCACCTTTTATACAATGGCATTTTTTGAAAAAATATTATACTTATGAATATTATGTATTTTAATACTGATTAGTTGTAAGTCCTTACCTTACATAATATACTTATAACTTATATGTTATAATGTATTTTATTAAAGTAAACTTGAATGAATATGAGAAGAATTTGGAGTATCGAGATACTTACATTTTAAATATTTAGATACTCGCGATCGAACTCGATACATTTGAAAAAAATAGTCATAGCCTACGACGTATAGGATTTTTTTAAACATTTTTTATACACAATTAGGTAGGTTATGAATCTAGACACATGCATTTAACTTTAAATTTTCAAATATTAATTAAGTATAAATGTATCATAATAAGTCAAATGTTAAATTACATGAATTAATAAAAATAAATTGTAGATATCATATCGAATAAAATATGACTCGACAAAAAACTTACAGCAAAACGTAAAGTCCCATTCAACGTGTATGTGTGGTGCGTCACAGTACACAGATATAACTTATTATCACCAGTGCTGTAGTCCTAAAAAAAGCAGAGGGTATACTATGAGTTATAATATTAAACATTGTGTTAAAAACAATGTTTTTTAATTTTGGTACGAAGATTTGATAGTTGGCTGGTACGATCTTTCCCAAAAGCCTCAATTAAACCATTACTCCACTCATTAGAAATCCGTAATCTTTCTTTCTTTGAAGCCCCCAAGCATGTTATAGACGAACAAATATTACATCCAAATTTTCCATCTGCATTAACAATCCACGGATATTTTTCTTTAAATTCGATCCATTGAGACTCATTCCATACCATTGGCCATTTTTTGCTTTCGATATTACTACTACTACTACTAGGACTCACTAACGTTACATTATCGATGGTTTTAGATATTTCTTATTTTATTCGATGGGTTTTCATTATTTGCCGATTTTCTTTTTCTTTCTAATAAACTTCCCATTTTTAACCAACTATCCATATTATAACTGCTTATTAAAATAGATTTGCAAATAAAATAAACACGTACCTTTTTATTGATCGACTGGACATAACTTATACACAGATATGATAAACGAATCACTTTCAACGGCAAAATGAAAAATAAACGAATGCATACACTACACAGTACACAGTATTGAGTATATAGTACACACAATACATACGGTAATGTGCGACGGCTGGACATTTTATTTTTATCTAAAATACAGAAATTACAGCACTAATGTTATTTGATTGTTATATTATCTAATCTACAGTTCATTGCCGTAAATCGCCCAATATATATATATTTAATTATATATATATATAAATTATGTTTTATACAAATTGTCTAACTTAACATTCTTAGTTTTTCTATCAAAAATTTTTATAATAATCTAATGACTTTTATCTTTATATTATTTGTTAATTTCACTACAACAGAGAGTATACGACTTTAATCAGAAGGTATACGGAGTTTATATTAAAAATAACCAGAAAGTGTATACCGCCGTATACCCTCCAGTCTCCACTACAGCACTGATTATGACTAATAGGTTGAAAAATAAATTCGTACAAGTTGTACTGAAATTAAATTTTGGATTTATAAATTAAAATTCATCGCTCATATTATTTTACACATATTATAGTATTATACTAAAACATAGTCAAGCAGTCGCGGTTAGTAGATAGGTGAGTAAAAATAATCCTAAAAAATTAATTTTTTAAAGTATAGCATTAGTATCGAGTATTTGTTGACAAAATTATTTTGTAAAATACTCGAGAGAGTATGAACTTTTTAAAATTGTATCTGTTATCCATTAAAAAAATGTGCTCATTTATCATAAGCACTCTAGGCTCAATACAACCATTGTGATATTGATATATGTAATCGAAGTTCATGTGACAAAAGTAGGTATGCATACGTGGAAACAAATAATTACATAATATTTAAATATTCACATAGAATTGATACAGTTAAACAATATACAATGTTATTGATGTACTCATTCATTGCTCATTTGCTCCACAGTAAAATAATATTTGACTGCTCAGTATTTTCTTTATTTTTGCACCACAATAAAATATACAACAAAATATATTTGTGCAATAGGTACTGTTAATACTTAATACGAACCAATATTATCTTATTAGTTATTATGTATAGCTAGCATAGGGTACCTATTTGATTTGTTCTTGTAATATTCCTAGCAAATATACAATAGTAGTATTAAATAAGTACATGAATATGGTGTGCCAGTCTTTAAAAAAAGTGATGGGGGGATATGACACCCCAAATCCCTCCAAACTCTCCCCCCTAATTATGCCACTGTATTACGCACTACTTTATCATGTGCCAAGGTGAGCAGACAGAAAACAGTTTAAGAAGATAACAATTAACTATCTCTATTTCCTGTAAAGCTTTATAATTTTTAATTTTTTTCTATACTTTGTTGGTGTCGTGCAAAAAGTGATAAAGTGAATTTATTTCAAAATTTGAATTCTCATTACTTTATAATCATAATATTATTATTTCACTTAGTCAATTTTCAAATGTCTAAATCACAACATAGTTGCCAATATACAAAAAGTGACAAAGTCAAAAAAACAAAAAATATGTTATATACCTAAATTTTAAATTAAAAAAAAAAATTATAAAATGTACATTAATTGATCACTTTTTGAACGAGGTCGGCAGTTTGTATATTTATATTATTTGACCTTTGCTTTTTTTTTTACAATTTGCAAAATATTTTTGTAGTTCCATAATCCGCACTCTTTACAATTTGAGCTAAAACGTTTAATAACATAATTATGTTATTATATATAATTATATAATATTTAAAACATAAAAAAACATTTTAAATGAAATAAAGATGATTTTATTTCATATTATTAAATTAACAAATAATAAAACATTTTCAACATAGTGCAATACTTTATAGTTTATAATAAATAAAAATGTGATTAATTTTATATATTTAACGGCTTTACAACCAACATTTCCAACATGGCTTACTGATACTACAACAAAGTATTAGCTACAAAATGGCAGTGTCAGCCTCAAATATTAATATTTTAAGGCACATAGACGAAACATTACTGACTGTCTACTTATACAAATATCTCCATCTTATTGGTTTTACGAACAATTTTGATTTGACCGGGTGCTATGTCTGGTAATCCTAAATATTTGAATGCTATAGTTACAGTTTGGTCACCAAAACTCGCATCGAACCTGCAGAAGGATCATTAATTAATGGTTTTAAGTTGTAAGGTTGACTAAAAAATTACCTAGTAGATATGTTTACATCTGGTGGACTACCAGACACGTTTTGAATAACTAAAAACAGTTTGGTGACTATTTCTATGACGTGGCTAGTTTGAAGAACAATATCTCCCTTTTTTTTATAAGAGCTATCTGAAGGACCAACAACAGGTCCTTGGTGAAATAAGCATCCACTTGGTGATGGTGACCACTCTCCACCCAAATCATCTTCTTCTTCGGGACATCTCACATAAGCCTAATGAAATGTTTTTACATACAAAAAATGCGAACTTAAATAACTATCTAACTTACTGATTTTATATGAAATACTGCAACATTATCTAAAAATGGTGATAATGATAATCGATAAATATCTTCAGCCGGTACTCTGTATTTAACTTGTAAGGTTCTATGGTCTAATATTAACATAGACTTTGTTGAAATCACAAGAAGAGTTGGTACAAACTGAACAAAATAAAAATGTATTATTCCTTAGTAAAATGTTAAGAAAGCAATCACAAAATAACTACTTTGCCGCTACTCCGAGTAATTTTGTTTACTATATCAGCAAACACAACATGATGATCATCACACTGCAAAGCAGTCTTTTTCCATTGAATATGTTGCCTTAGGCGGACATAATCACCAATAAATGGGTGTGCAACACTCTGACTATAGCTTGCTTTACGATTTTTAAATATGATGCTGGCAGTGACTTTCTCACGCATACGATTTCTTGACGTCTGATCTAATTTATCCCGATATTTATGACACTAAATTCAAACATTTTATTAATGAGAATAGAAAATTCATTATATTATATTTTTTATTTGAATATTTTACATATTTATTATTATTTATTAATATATTCAAACTTCTAATAACTTGTTATTCAGTTACATAAAATCAAGATTTTAAAAACATTTATTATTTTTAGTTGGAAATAGAAATAACTTTTTGTGGTTTAAAAATAATTTTTAAAACATTTTCAGAAAATGTTGTTTTCAAATCAATGATTGTACCTCTTCATCTGGTGTCTCAAGTTGTTATCTATACTATCTGTTTTTATTAGTTAATAGTGCAAAATTAAATTTACTAAATGTACGCTCATTGGCTTATTGCATATATTTATGATATGAAACTATGAAAGTATTTCTTTATATTCACTTGATAAACAATTTTCAACTCCTTCAAAATTACTAAAATTGACTTTTCTTGGGCCAGTTCTTTAGATTTATCTTTTAATATTTCGTAGTGTCATTCCAAAACATTTACTTGTATCAAAAACCCATTGATATCTTATTCATTGATACACTTCATTAATAGTATCTCTGTTTTATGTCCAATTAAGTTTAATTTGTGATTTAGGTTTAATTTGCACGTTGAAAGTTCAAGTGGAAAGGTATTTAAAAATTAGAGTTTTATTAAGCAAGTTGCAGGTGACTTTAAATTGTCAACATATTTGAAGTCTATACACTGCACATTGCTTAGGTCAATATTAGAATATGGTTTTGTTCTAAAGCGAAGGTTCTTAACCTATGGTCCACGTAGATGGTTATTTGGGGGTCCTTATCTTTAGGGGTTTATTTACTATTTATCACAATTTATAGTTGCATTGTTTGTTACTAGGTGTTAAAAAACTGTATGGCGTTTATTGTCAAAAATAGAATTACAATTTTAAGTAAAAATTCAAAAAAGTTTAAAAGGATGCGATACCCATATTTGTTACCTCAGTCTTACTTATACACCATAAATGTACACTTGGGCATGGTTCATACTTTTTCTTATTATTTTTCTATTCAATTATTAATAATGACATTTATTCAAAGTACTTTTAAATAACATACTCCTGTTTTTTTATATTCATACAAATCTAGAACTTACTCTCCATTTGTGATGTAGTGTCTCTAATAAATAATGTGTGTGCGCAAATCGAGCATTAGACAATGGTACCCAAGCTCTACAAATAGGCGACTCAGTAGCTTCACTTAAGCTTCTTGATAATCTCATCAAATATTGACGTTTCTGAAATTAAATATATTTTATATTATTTATTAAATTCAATATAAAACTTATATTTGTTTGATGTTAAAATATATTTAATATTATTTCTTACCTGCCAAGTTAAAACTGTTCTAGTAATGCATTTGGCAGCTGAAATTGTATCAGTAATCCTATACCAAAACAGTATGTTTAAAAACTTATAATATTTTTGATTAATATGATAAATGATATACCTAAATTGTTGATATTTATTTGATAAGTTTTGAGAAGAATTCTGTCTTTTATGTCTATGCCAAGCTTCTTGCACCAAAGCTGCAAGTTGGTTAAGACGTTCTGCTCTTAACTGTTCTAATTCCCATACGGACCTTGGAGAACGTACAAATACTTTGGATACACCATACACAAACTCTCCACTGGGTATTGGTAAGCACACAACTAATGCCCGTATAGAACGAGCTGTGTTGCCATACCGAGGTCTAGGCCAAGTAGCTGGACTAAGCATTTTATATCGTGCAAGAAATTCTTCAAATGTAAGTCGATAGCAAAAGCCTGATCTACGCAACCGAACAATTTCAACAAGGCTAAAATTCAAAAAAATAACATTTATAGTTTAAATCAATGAATTGAAATTAAGTACAATTAATTATTTATTATTTATTTAGTGATTACCTAAACCATCTAACTTGTTGCTGTACAAAAGAAGAGTCAAAAGAGTTTACTTGACAATGACGATTAGGTGATATGCATGTTACATAATGGCAACGGCGACCAGATAATGTTGCAGAAAATGCTTCTGCCCAAACACGTAATTGACTAGCTGGATTGGAAACAGTAAATGATGACATTCTTTCTGGATTTCCTGAAAAAAATAATTAATAAATTTCAAAAATGTGTTTGATTTAATAGAAATTGATTATTTGTATTTGATTGTATTTTAATTAATGTATGTTCAAACATCAAAATTTACCATCATGAAAACTTTAATGCTGTAAAAACAACAATAACATTATATTTTTGTTAACATACACATATTTTGTTTCATTTTTAAAAAAGTTTAAAATATTTAAACAATATAAAGTTCATGACCATACGTTTTTGAATTGAAATAAAAAGCAGGTACACCTTACATAAATCAAGGACCTTATAAATACTATGTATTGAAATATTGAATAGTATCTAGTTGATATAAATATATAAGCTTTCATAAAATAACCTACATGGGTACAAGTATACTTCATTCAAGTTAAGAAGGAACCAACTCGGCCAGTTTTTTTTCAGGCAACACCTGTCTGTAACCACCGCTCAGTCATGTTGAAGTACCCTATTCCTGCTTACAATTCAGCCTCCAAGATACCTTTTAAACATGAGTGGAGAATAAAATAATATGCCCATACCACATTATGTTAAGGTTAGGTTTACCTAATTTAAACGGTTTTTCTACAAAACAAGAAATACAAGAGTAGCTTTGCTAGTTTGTAGGTATTGGACACTGACACAGATAACAGATATTATGCTAACACCCTGTTAATTTATAAATGATTTTGCAGACTTTCATTATATGGTCAAGGATTGAATTTAAAAACACAAACATTACAATTTAATATATTACCTTCAGGAAACAAAGACTTCAATAATGGATGTGTACCATTATACATAGTAGAACATAACAAAGGACTCAAACTGTTTTTATTTTTGTCAACAAAAGTATTAATATTATACTTAACTGGGCCCATAAAATGATTTAACCTGAAAAAATAACAAATTAAAATCAAAAATAACAAAAAATACTCTAAGAAATATGAATTTAAAAAATATTATTGTAGCCAATTTTTTTTTTTTTTAAACCACAGGTATAATATATAACTATGATAACTTAACAATTAAATAGATAAAATTTTAAAATAAATAAATTTTAATTTGAAATGTAATTTAACCTTAAATAAAAATTGAAGGTAAATTAAAAATAATAAAAATAAATGATAAATAAAATTCATTAAGAGGATGCCACACCCGCATGTGTTGTCTCCGTCTTACAAACGTACAACATAGCAAATACTGTTATGAGCGAAATAGAACCACTAAAACTGTAATCTAAGCTAAGTTACCGAATTTTTACACTAAACAATAGAATATTTACCGTGCAATATTGCTTTTATTTTTTGATATCACAAATACAAGAAAAGTTTTTATTGTTTAAAAATTCATTATTTCAAACTTTAAAAATTTGTTTTGTATTTGTGATATCGATTAAATAAAGACGATATCGCACAGCAAATGTTCTCTTGTTAATAGTGTGAACATTTGATTGCTTAGATTGGACTACAATTTGAATGGTTCTATTTCGAGCATAACAGTTTTTGATATGTTGTACGTTTGTAAGACGGAGACAACACATGTAAGTGCTGCGTCCTTTTAAATAAAAACAACTGTTTAAATACTTTAAATACTAGTAAGTGAATTAATTTAAATAGGTGCTTATTTAGTTTTATTTAAATAATTTGATGACATTTAAAATTTAAAACATATTAATAAGTAATGATATTCAAATTGAAAATTGATATAAAATGTCAGTAGTATTATTTTATTTTGCAAATTAATTATTTTTTAAACAATGTAGTCATTATTGGCAGTAAAAATTATCTTATCATAAAAAAATTATTATTTTTACATGAAACTGTCATTCAATGATATTTGCTCAACTGCAGAACTGATTTGGTCTTCAGAAGATGATGAACTGTACTGTCGTTGTAATGCACAAATTCGTTTAAAAACTGTTATACTATTACTATCTAATATTAAATCATCCATTATACTCAATAATCCTCCATATGTCTAAAAATGTACATTAAAATTACTATAACTAAATGTTACATAAAATGTATTAAGTTAACTCTCGATTATTGGCAAAATAGGATGGCACAGCACCCCAAATAAAGGAATTTCTCAGTTAATTCGCAAAATACAAATTTAAACAAAAATGCTATTATTGTACTAATAAAAAATTATATTATACAGGGTGATTCACCAACTATTCTCATTCTTTTTTTCTTCAGTAATGCAGTTATTTAAAATCAGATTTTTGGCATTTTTAAAAATATTTCAACCATATTTTTAAATTTTTGAGGTTTTTTGTATTACTTAAGAAATGTCAACTGTAAATTATTCAGTAGATAATTTTTCTAAAAAATTAGACGTATCAGAATCAATACACGCACATGTAGTTTTTGAGTTATTTAACTTTACTTTAGGTTTTTGGTAATGTATATATAAGATAACGGAACTATGGTGATTTGAAAATTTTAGTCATTTATATTATTCTATCGATATTAAGAATTCTTAAAAATGGCCCAAATACAATAAATACTAATTCCAATATTAAGTCCATTTTATATTTTTGTAAAACTATTTTTAAGGGCTACTATCCTTAGTACAAACACTTTAATAACTAAGAAACTACTCATTCAAACTTTGAATTAGGCATATCAAAAAAAATTAATTTACAGTAAAAATAGGAGGGGGGATCTCATTTGAAAAACAACAAATTTGTATTGCCATGAGTTACCCCTCAAGTAGTACGAAAAATTCAAGAATTTGAAAACATATTTATTATATTTAATTTTAAATAATTTTTTTCAGAATTTGAATTAATTCATAATTATAGAAAAAAATAGGGTGAGCATGCTTAGTGAAAAACTCTGTATGGTATTAATAGTATTTAAAGAAAATTAGATATGTACATTTTGTATTTACTATTTGTATTTAAACATTCATATAATAAATATAATGTTTATATTTATTTTTTCCTAAAAACATATTATATTGTACATTAACACTATTTTTAGTAGCTTCCGTGGTACCCTGGGGGACCACAAATAATCGAGAGTTTACTATACAAATTTAATTGTATGTAGTTTTATCCAGTAAATATTTTATCTACTAATCAAACCTAAAACATACCTTGAATATTAATTCACAAACTGATGTATTATCATAAAATGGAATAAGACACCATTGTACTCTTTCTATTGCATATTCTTGTTGCTCATCTTTTAATGTTGCTGTTATTACTAAATTATGGATTTTATCATTACAGGAATTCAACACAAAATTATCCCAATCCATCTGACTATCAGAATAATCAAAACCAAACGCATCTAAAAATCCTAAATTTCTTCGTTTATATTTTGCTTCAGCTTTAACACTTTGGTTGAGTCTTGTTATCAACCATGAAAATAACCTAGTGTACAATGACTGAGCAAGCAGGTCCTTGATGTAACGAGCTTCTTTTGCAGAAAGTCCAGATGATAATACTGATGATGTAAGAACTTTTTTTAAAGCCTCGCCATCAGTTCCTAATAATTCACCAAGCTCGTATAACTCTGAAAACAAATGTAATACAAATTTTATTAATAAGCACTTAAAAAGACTTATTTCTGTTATCCTGAATTTTCAAATTATTTTAATGACTTATGATTATCTAAATCTGCTAAAATGTTTTCTTCAATTATTGAGCCATGTTTAATGTATTTAAATAAATACTAGTTAAAGAATACCAACTATTGTAAATATTAATTATTAAAACTGGGAATAATTTAATTAATATTTAAGTCATACCATAATCATTTGTAATAATACACCCTTCAGTTCCATCGATGTTATTAGTAGGTACCAAATTCAAATTGCCCAATTTTAATATACTGCTAATGATCTTAAAAATACTAGTTATTTCAGATTCACTAAGTCCCAAAATCTCAAATCCATACTGTAAAATGCATATAATAAATATTTTAAGTTATTATTAAGAATACGAGTATAAAATGTACATAGTATTACACAAACATTAATTAGTAAACATGTTATTTTTTTACTTAATACATAACATATTTTTTTAAATATTAAAAAAAATAATTATATTAATTATACCCATCAAATTAGGTCAAAAATACAGAACTAAAACAAATATATTTAAAAAAACATTAATTTTTTACCTAGAAAATACAAAATACTTGAATATTTTTTTTCTTTCACATCAAACAAAATATGAAATAATACAAGCACTAAAAACATAAAAATAAAATACTTTAGAGGGTATGTGCCAGAAAGACCTGACAGATAAAAATAAAAATTTGATACTTGTTCAACGTATAGCAAAAATTATGAAAATCATATGGATGATAAATAACTTATGTAATATACTTGTAAAAAATAATATTTTGAAAAAATTGAAAAAAAAAATAAAATATTGGACTTAAGTAACGTTTTTACCATACAATTTTTTTTTTATAAAAATTAAGACTTACAAATGCTGTAAATGACTTTTTTGTTTGGCTAGCTTATTTTAAATGTATGTAAAAAAATTGGATTAAATATTAATTACAACAAAAATTATTTAATTTTTCAGGTCATTCTGTATATCTAAAAACTAAGACCAACAACTATGACAAAAAAAAAACAAACTTTTATCAAATATTAAATCATATTATTGAATACAATTACCTTTATTGATTGATATTCTGATTGAAAATTAACAACATCAATTTGTCTAATACGATTACTGCATTTTAAGTAAACATAGTTTTCTGAATTTCTGGTAAGTTTTAAGGATTCTGAAAATCAAAGAAAATTAGTTAAAAATTGATTAGAATTAACCATCCACCTTGTGAACACAACTGAAATAGAATGGTTAAATATTTAAGTAATAATTATCTGAAGTAGCATAGTTTAAAACCGCTATTTTATTACATTTAAGGATACACGTAAATAGACCAATTATTAAGTTATTAATTATTAATATATAAATAATTCTTTACTAATTATTTATAAATATTAAATAATATAATTTAATTGGTAAATATTTTTAGTTTTGATAAAACTATAATATTTACTATTTCAATTTAAACTTACTCAATAAATGAATATCAGCACCATAAATGAGTTGATAAAATATATGAAAATTCCTATTCAATGCACTTTGCGACGTTACCCTCGACTATAAATAAATAAATGATAATAAAAAATTACAAATTTTCACACTTTAAAAACATTCAAAATCTTAGTATAAAAATAATAGGGATATCATACAAAACTGAAATCCAAGTCATTTTCGAAAATAAATTTTTCTTTTATACACAATTTAGTCAAATATTAAATAAGCAAAATAAATTGGACATATTAAAATACCACAACTTTTTGTATGCTAATATATTTAGCTAGCTGTATAAGTGTATAACCTGACTTTGTTCTGGGAAAAAATTAACAAATATAAAATACAATACTATACAGGTATTTCAGTTTTAGTGTATCTCAGTTTACTAGCAAATTGTTGATGTACATAGCTTAGTGAAATAATACAACCGGAATGGGAAACCAAAAGTCGCAGATTGTATTAAGTACTTGCTATATTTTTTAACGTGGTTCAAACTTCTAACTACTCTCAAAGCTTTTATGATCTCTAAAAACAAACTCTGAGATTTTCGTCAAAATCAATAGAGTATATTTTGAGTATACAAGCTAACAAACGTATACATTTGGTTTAAAAATACAGTTTCTATAATCAAGATCATGCAAACTCTATGAATTGATGCATGATCTGCTCAATTAAACCAATGATAACCATTTAAAAACAAATAAAAAAATTGAATTTCCATCATAAATTTCAAAATCATAGTGTGATAACCCTCTTTAAAATGCTAACTTTGAAAATCATTTTTAAGTACAGGGTCGTAAGAAAGGTACTATAAAAAAATGTAGACTCCAGCTATCACAGTCTCATTACTCAATTAAATACTTTGTTAATTTGATTCTCAAAAAGATACTAAGTGCAAAAAAACCACACATGATATAATAAGAGTGATGTTAAATCAATTGCTACCCAATAAATATGTTTGTTTGTCATTTATCTTTTAAAAGTAGAAGATAAAATTATAGCCAGTAATCAATAACTCACTTTATCCAATAAATCTATTTGCAGCATACAGAAAATGAACAAATTAATTATTTAATTATTAGAATAAACCAGAATTACACTTACATCCTGTAATTGTAGCACCCACAATATCTCCTTTAAAATTTAATTCTAGATCAACATGTTTTATCTGAAACATACAATTAAATATCAATCATGAATCAAGTAATTTAAATTAAATTAAATTATATATTTAACTAGTAAAATTACAAAATAATTGTAATTACTTACAAAACGGGAAGCATCACTATGAATATGTGTTTTGGCATTCCCAAATGCTGAAATAACAATCAATACAATGAAAAGTTATTTACAAAAATTAAGTGTTACAATCCAACTTACAATTTAATATGATGTTAGCATTCAACAAACGTTGATTGAGCAAATTATTATGATTATTGGTCCCACATAAACAATGCAGCAACATTGAAATAGAATGGCTTTTACCTGAGCCAGAAATACCTTGTAGGACAACACATTGATCTTGAGCAGCATCTACCAACCATCGAAAAGCCCAACTAGCTATAGCATAACTAAAAAAACAAAATCAACATTAACACTGCATTATTATTATTTTATACAATTGTATAATAAATAGTAAATAGATATATTAGAAAGATCATTACAGATGTGGTGGTAAATGGCCTGATCTTGGTGACATATATATTCGACATAGAGGTATAGAAACTTGATGTGCTTCTTTATATGGATTCACAGCAATAAGCATATTTCCCATGTATGTCTAAAAAATCAACATAAAAAATTTATTTTTAAAATACTATTCAAGTATTATGAATGAATAAGAACATAGTTTATTATGTAATAAACAAATATTAAACAATGATTACTCATTAAAAAAATTAAAGAAACACAAACAACAATTAACACAAACTATTTATAAGCACCTTAGACATTAAATTAAATAAAACAGAATTTAACATTATAAAAACATTATGTAAGACAAAACAATTTAAAATTTAATTTAAAAAAGGTAGACAACTGGGTACCCCCTCGTGCTATACAGTAGGCGTCGAGTAGGTCACTGTAATGGATGATATTACATTAGAAATACATGATATAGGATTGTATACAAAAAAAATAATTTTTAGTGGAGATGGTCTGTCAGCATATATCAAGTAAATGTCATAATATTATGTTTTTTGCTATTGCTATTAAAGTAATTTATTTTACTATCAGAATTATTATAAGTTGATTTAACTTTTTCTGAAAACATTAGATTTATTATATTTTAATATTTAACTATTACAATAGTTTATATTTCTTTTATATCATATTACACTTATGTTATTACCTAAATTTTGAGTCAATACCACCTTGCCATAGAACAAGTACAAGTAAATACGATCATGGTATAAATAGCTAATAGCTTAAAATTAATTTATATAGGTATTTTAAAAATATCATTCCATACAATTAAATGTATAATATAAGTGAAAGTATCCATAAATAATATTTTCAAATTACAACAATATAACTAATATTGTAATTCTATGTTTTAATTTCTAATTTTGTTTTAATGTTAAATTAAAATATCTAAAAAAAAAATCTTTGTAAATATATTTTTTAGAAACAGTATGAAATGAAAAGTTACTAGAGAAGATATTTTTTAGTAATAATCAACGACCTATGAGGAAGGAACCTTGTATTCAATTTTCAAGTTTTTTGACTGCAAAATATTAAAAAATATAAAAAAAATATTAAAATTAAAATTAAAAAACAAAAAAAAAATTAAAAATTACATGTCTTTAATCAGCTCGTGTGAAAATATTTTAAACATTTTAGCTCTTAATAAAATTACATTATAAATATATGGTGAAAATTTCATTAATTTAAGGTTGGTCATTTTTGATTTACACCAAAAATCCAAATCAATTTTTTTTAACACTAGAATTCTAGTTTATCATATTTTGTTTTTTGTTTCACCAGGCTATTTTGAAAAGCTTTATAATCCATATTTATGTTCAAATTAATAAATATTAGATTTAGAACATTTAATCCTGTTTAATACTTTAGAAATCTGAAACAAGTTCCAAATAAAAAACATTATTGTATAAAACCAATTGCAAGAGAATTTTCAAAAAAATGTAGTTTAAAATGTATGCATAGAATATAATATATATTCGAATAATAAATAATTGTTTATCTTCTTGACCTTGTTAATAATAAATAGTATATAGGTTAGGGTTATATTATACCAATATTACATAGTCGATAAAAATCTTAAATTAATCATTGTATCATAAGATACATAAATACATTACTATAGCCTGTAGGCAATAGATCAAAATAAGATAACTGGTTTTACTGACATAGTGTATTAGAGCCACTATTAGTGGTAGTGTATGTAGAATATAGACAGTTTATATTCATAGCCCATAGGAAATAAATCATTTTCATTAACATTTAATAACCATACAAATATAAAGATTTTTTTTAAATACAATTACATAATGAAAGATTTTAAAAAACCAAGTAAAAGGTGAATGAAATTCATAATGATGTTTTAGGTCGTGGGTAAAAATTAAATTTAAAATAATTAATAAGTAAGTATTTAGATCATAAAATGTTTTAACTGTAGTTTCTTGTTGAAATAATTTTTAGATTGGATTAACTACCAATAGTATGATACTTATATTTTATACCACCACGTTTAATATTATTTTATTGTAATAACTCATCTTTATTTTGAATTTTAAACTTAAAAAATATTTATACATATCATCGGTTTTTAATATTATATTGTAATGTTGTATTATTAAATGAACCATATAACTGGTCAGATTTTTTATATCAGTTGCAGACGTTTCATAAGTAATTAAATTAAATTATTTATATACTAAGCAGTATTATACAATTAAAACATTTTGAAATACTGACTTTATCTACAAAAGTCTCTTTGTAATCAAGGATAAACATATATTTTAATTTTGAACACTTATAAGAGTTAAATTACTTACATAATTAGTATTTGAGTCATATCTACAATTCAAATTTGAGATAAACGTTTCTTCTGTCAATGGCTCTAGCAATACACTGTCCCAGATTCCATCTTCATCATTGAGATCCATTAGGAAGTGAGTCTTATATCTATAAAATCCAAACTGAAACCTTTAGCATCATAGAATACATTATAGGCATGAAATGTTATAGTATGCCGTGGCAGGCACTATCTGGTACCATATTGATTGTTCACATCTAATCCACTTATTATTATAACTTATAAGCACCTGTCAACTATAATAGTTAGGTATCATTCAAAACAGAAATATAATTGTTTTCATCTTATGTATTAATTTATACTAATAAATTGTTAATGAAGATATACAACACAAATATTTTAAATAACAATTTATTAAACCTTAATTACCAAACATCAGATGAATACTAAATATAAACTATTAATAATATTATACCATAAACAGATTTTTAATTTTGATCAGTACCGTTTTATATACATATTTAATAAATAACTTAATTTTCTAATAGATTAATACTTCATAAAAAAAATATCAAACGCTCATTTCTCATTACATTTCTTTGAGTAAAAACTTTATATAAATCCAAGCAATTTAATTTTATGGTTAGAACAGACGAAATTCAGTATTCTACTATAGTAATATTTTATTGACAATGAACATGAAATGTATCATTCTAAAATAATGACCTTCCAACTTCAATCCTTTTCTTTGTTAAAAAATATTCATAAATGGCTACACAAGTGTATCAATAACAATGTAGTTGCATCATGATTTATCTGTTAACACTTCTCATCTATTTATATTTTTACTTTATGAAACTATACATTTTAAAAAAAAGTAGAAAGGAGAAACTTCAATCTGTGATATACTAACACTAAACAACTAAATGTATGATTAATTTTTAATTCAAACAACTATATACCGATCAATAATAACACATGTCTTAGCTTAAAAATGTATTTAATAGGCCCATAAATAAACAATTATTATGAATTAACACCTGAACTATAGCATTCAAATAAAGAAATTAATTTAACACTGAATGTATATGAATACGCTTATTTTAATGAATTCAATATTATCAATTAATTAAAAATAAACCACATACCAATATTTATAATATTATATTTAATTTAAATTGTATAGTGAAACGCATATCCATTAAACACTTAGACATATTTTACTTACAATAGGTACATTATTTTAATACACTTAAGTAGGTAGTTCCATAAAAATCAATGATAAACTCAATATTTCAAACGCCTAACTAAAAAAATAGGAATTAAATATACTAAAATGAATATTTATTAGAACTAGTTAAATGACTGAGTATTATATTATATTATAAAGATTAAAGGTGGGTACATACAAGATAACTCAAGTTTTAAATAGGTACCTGCAATTTCATTGAATATCAAAAATTAAGTGTTTAAATATTTAATACAAGTGCAGTTATCATAAGTGCTAATTTAAAAGTACCTAATATCCACTAAAATAAGTGCATATTTTAGTTTACTATTTAAGATAACTTAAGCACATCAAATATTTGCTACTTACTAGTAGGTAACTACCAACTATCAAATTAAAAAAAAGATAACTTACTTTAAAGTCAACAAATTGATGGAAAAAGTTAATAGATACTATTAAATAAAACTAAAAAAAAAACAAGAAATTTATAGAAACTAAAACGTTTTTAAATAGCCTAAATTTAAAACAAAATTTTTGAAGAAAAAAACTAAGTATTGATAAAATTATCGGCTGGTACAGTGATAACTGATAAAATAAGCAGTGCAAGTAAATCTGTGAGAAATTAAAAAAAAAATTATACCTTAATTATTACTGTAATTGTACAAATATATTAGGCGTACAATAGTTAAATCCTAAATAATTAAATTATGCTTAAATTTAAACGATTTAAACTCTTTTATTAAGATATTACATTGTTGAAGTATGATAATTATTTATTTATTTCTACTCAAATCGTGATTAAATAAAAATCGTGTATATGTTTTTAATAATGAGCAACAATGGATGGATATCAAACGATAGACTTATAATTGTATTTAAATTTTAAATCATATTATGTTTGTAATTACTAATTATTCTTAATTGATTTTATACATTACCCATCTACTATTTACTATTTGCATACAATTTATGTCATGTTACATATTATTAAAGTTATAATGTCACTATGGTTACCTATAGTGATTGGATTATATGCTCGGGGTGTATATGTATAAAAGAGAAAGCTTAGAATTAAATCTTAATAATAATATATTGATTTTCTTTTCTGGGCTTCTGCTCCCCTGCTTTCGTCCACCGGTAACGTTGTTATGTATTCGGGTGGTCGCGGGGTAACAGTACCTAGCTAATTTGAAAAATAAATAAATATTCAGGCCTAGCTAAAACGAATTGGTTATTAGTTATTAGGTACTTAATAATTACTACCATAATGAGTACCTAATAATTAAAGTCAAAATACCTAAACATATTATTTAAGACCGAAATACATACAAAATTCAAAATCACTTACAAGCTACAATGTTTTCTATTGCTGGTATAGTTTTTGTACATATTGAAATAAGTAATAACTATAAAAAACAATATAAAGTTTATATAAACCTGCCTAATTAAAGTGTTTCTTTAAATAAAAGTATTTTATAGAATTATATTATACCGTACGTGCCCACACATTATATATATACTTTTTCTATTGATAGTATGGTTTACAATATACATATAGATTATACAATGTCTATAATGGCAGCCTAATTTTTTTGCCAGTGAAACAAGAAAATTTTAGTCGTAATATGTTGTGCCACCCATACGACTCACATATTTTATTCACTCGGTACCATGTAAAGACCCTCTTCTCCCAGACAACTTAACTTGATTTCGCGTCAAATGTATTCTACAGGAAATTTGTATTTCATACTTCAATAAAAATAATTGTTTATGATTAAAATAAGTAATTTCTTATTAGGAACAGATGTAGTTAAGCCCTCAAGCGATTTTTGGTGATTTTTTTTCAAAATGTAAATTTTTATTTACTTAATTTAATAAAACTTTCAAAAAAAGTTATTCAAATTGTCTTTGGTCTAAATACTCCAAAATCATATTTTTATGTTTAAAATTAAAAAAACAACTTTTTTTTTAGATGTGAGTTTTTTATCCTCAACATTTTGATGAAGTCAGAAATTACCTATCGCCCTTACCCACCTTTTTATGTTTTTATTAATAAAGTAATAACGACAAAAAATTCGATGGAGGGATCGGGTGAGAATATGGTTAAATTGACCAATGATTACATACATGAATAGGAAGGTGTATTTATTATGATTACCTATAATGTTTTAAATATCAGAGGTACCTTCTATTGAATAAAGTTTTAAAATTACTTTTTTCGGTTTAGATTCGTGGGAAAATCTGCGTTAAAATACGTAAAATCGTGAACTGCAGAGGATTTTAACTTTAACCCGAAAATCGCTTTACACCTATAAACTGCATTTATGCTTTATATAAAAACTGCTATCATGAAAGTCTTAATCATTATTTATAAATAAATTAGAATTATGAAAATTATATGGCCTTTAACTTTGTGTGTGTGTGTGTGTGTGTGTGTGTGTGTGTGACTGTGGGTCAGCTTTTTGTAGAAAAATGTTTCAATCTTCAACTTTGAAAGCTTGTTGCAAATTTGCAAAGTAAAAACAAACATTTTTCACCAAATACCTATTTATATAGCATTTTCTAGACTTGATAATTTTCAAAATGTTTTGGTTCTTTTTCCTTTATAAGACTAGAATTGTTCTACTTTTTTAAGTTTTTCGCTTTATGTATGGTAACATTTTAGTTTGTAGAAAAAAAAGCTTGAAAGTGTAATTCAAGCCTTAAAAAAAAACATTTTTATACTTTTTGATTATTTTTCTTTTAGATTATTTTGTAATAATTGTAAGAAAAAAGCACCATATGAAGGGAGAGTATTAATAATAATATATACTTATATTAGTATTTTAAAACCTATGGACATTTTTTACTTGCAATAATTATGTTTTATAGAAATTGTAAATATAACTTGGAAAATAATTTTTTCATCTAAAAAAGAACTACCTGAACCAAAAAAATACATTTTTATAACTTCTAATGTGAAAACCCAGTGAAGTCACTATGCTGTATAATATACTTTATATACTATACCTATATATATATTAATATATCATCTGTAGTCCTGTAGACTATAATTCAGTGTCGTCATTGGGTAGGTCATTAGTCATTACTCAATATAATACCTATGGATGTGTTCAATTTTAGTCAAATAAAAATTCTTTGCATATAATAATAACAAAGCCGTTGTGTTGGCTGTTAAATCCTAAATACACTATAATATTTATTATTTATAAACTATAAAATATTTATTATTAAGCAAATATTGAACTTACAGTTATTAATATATCAACAGTGTTGATTCAACACTTGATACACAATAACCATGACCAATTATGATTTTCTCGTTCGAATTTCAAGTATACCTAGATAAAAAGTTGTTACAAAAATAAATGCAATCAAAATATAACTTTTATTTGCTAAAATACGTGTTCAGGTAGATACAACTACGATCACACACAGAACCATGTATTAAGCTCGTAAACCCAGGTTTTCTATATATTTCCTATAAGGCTATAGTTAGAGCAAGTTCCTCGGTATTTTTTATTTTAAATATTTATACATATTAAAAATATAAATAATGCATAGTATTATTGCATACCTTAACTTTTAACAGTAAACACGAACAATGAATTTTTTGCAGTGAATTTAAATAAAAGTATATAATGTAAAAGCTAGATGCCGAGTCATATACTCATTACTCATATGGACCTATATGGCGACTATATGTCATATTACGGTTATAACTTCAATTACACGAAAACAGTGATTTTGTCTTTGACGAAAAAAATTTCAAATCTATTAAAAATGCCGCATGCATTTATTTGAGGTTAACTTAACTTGTTAATAAAAAGTAATCTAATTAAAAAGATACTAACAAGAAAAATTATGAATTAGGTATAAAGCTTACATAAAAAGTAATTTCAATAATCCTATCATATTAATAATTATTGCAGTGGTTTTCAACCTTTTTTCGAACACGGGAAACTGTGCTTTTTGCAATATTTTTACTTCACAAGCCAGTGAGTTTTCTTCATCAAAGTCGAAAGACCACTATTTTAGGTCATTATTAAATTTTTATATCAAATTAGATTAACGAATTTGTATTTTACTATATATATATTTATTATATTTATTAATATTTTATTACATTATATTTTTATTAAGTTGAATTATTTAATTATTATAAAAAAAACTCTTGAAAGCTCGTGGCACACCGCCTTGAGCATTCTTGAGGCATCTCCTGTGTGCCGCTGCACATCGGTTGAAAAATACTGAATTAGTTAAGACTTTAAGAGTGATTATCATATATTTTACTGCATATTAATTTGATATATTAATAAAACTGTAATTGCAGTATTTACTAAATAATATCCTTAAGCCATTGTTCATCATCACCACAAAGGCACGAACTAAGATGATAAAGAGAAATAGAGAACTTGTCATAGCTCACAAGGATAGAGGCCGTTTCCCTAAAAGTATGTACACTAATACTGCAGTTGCGATCTTTTGAGTTAAAGAAGATTTCACCCTTTAGCAGTTTAGCTATACTATATAGTAGGTACTATCATCTATACATCCTGGCAATCCAAGAGGGGATGGATGTTGATACCTTCCAAATTGCACCCAATTTGGAATACGCAAGTTATACATTTGTCTATTTTAAATTCAATATTATAGTGATTTGGCCCTTGTTAAATTTCTTGGCCATAAAAAATGGATAAATTCCAGACAAGATTGTGGCCTGCCTAAAAATATGTGCTTCAGAAAAAAAATTAATAACACCACTGCTCACGATTTCCTGGTAAATTTGTATAAAAATTCTCAAGTATAAAACTTACAATTTCATTATTATTTGTTTTGTTTAAGGTTTTCTGCGAATTAACAAGCGACAAGAGTGTCACAATAACCTGCAATGCATAGACAGTCAGAGTCGGCAGTCAGCACTGTCAGCAAATATTACTTTATGGCTCTTAGTCTATACCTACAAATTACATTTATATATGACTAGTAATTTATTTAATATGGATTATTATATGTATAATATAAAATACTAAAATTCTAGAATTCAGATATAGCTACAACTATTTATAATAGCGTTGTCGGTTATATCGCACGTGTAAGACGCAATCGACGAGGGGGGAGGAGTCGCTGAAAGTCCATGATTAGATTCTGAGAGGAGCGATGCATGTACAACGTACTTATTGGTTTCACAATATGTGTCTTATATTTGTTTGTGTCGGTACTCTGTGTCACCTTTAGCCTTTGGGAGAAATTACAATTTTTAACATCGAGGGTGGCTTCTAGCTGGTAGATAAAATTTAAACTATAGTAGGTAGGTATTCTGAGAGTCCAAAGTTAAGTTTTAAAATAATTAAGGAAAAAAAAAATCAAGAAAAATGGGAATTTTTAGCAGATAATCTTATAAAAGCTAAAATAATCCTTAGGGATAAATAACATAAGGTAGTATTTTACTTACATAATTTTGTACAAAATTATTTAATAAAATAAAAACCTACTAAATTATTTAGTTACTATTTTCTTATATCTAATGTATGGTACCTATACCAGGTGCGGATCCAATGGGGTGAAGGGGGTGAACGCCCCTCCCCTCATAAATCCCTAAAAAAAGGTTTGTACCTCCTATGTATAATATTATGTATATGATGAATTGAATCCAATTTTTCTTTTAAATATTTCTGGTGATTAAGTGGGCAACATGTTTTTTGACTTCAGTTCCTTTTACGTGTTTTGTTACAATTTAGGCGGCTTAGTAGTAAGTTTAAAGACAATTAAATGTTAATTAAATTAAAATTTCCATTTAAATTCAATGGAAAATTTTCCATTGAACATTTCTGGAACCACCTATACCTACACCACAAACATGACATATACTGGTATTTTAATGTATATATATAGTCTTTGAGCAACACTAGGACACAATTATAAGCCTACAACTTTTAAACCTATTTCCTATTAGTTAACTAAACACTGTACGATTTCGTATAAGGTATATAATTGCATTACGATTACATTTTTTAGTTTATATAGTAAAGTAGTAATGTAGGTACAGGTACACTTATATAGTTGTAAAAGTGCTGAATAATCAATAATATTCACTTTTAAACCTTGTACAACTGTATACCTACCTACAATAATAATAATTCAAATAATCAACATAATTATCGTAATATTAATAAAAAATATTTTTAGGCTATGAATAATGATTGTTTTATACTAATATAGTAATATATAGTAATCGTATACTACTAATATATCATATCATTTTATTATATATTATAATATTATGATTATTGATTAGTGTATTTGTATTAAGTAATTAATATGAATATTTTGTTTTGGTAGAGAGCTGTTAACATTCGTTTCTATTTAAGCTTTTGTATAGGCATAGATTAAATGTACACGTATGTTTAATCTATAGTACAGGTAAGTCCTTTGTTCAAAATTACAAATCAATATTATAGTAAGTTTATCACTCACAGATAACCGCTTAACAGCCAACAGGTGAATGTCATAAAAAGGTTGTGATTACTGATTAGTGATTAGGTATTCGAAACATTGACATTTTTAATTAACATTATAGAAATATATAAAATTCGATTAGATATACATTTTACATATTGCATAGTATGTAAATCTGTACTATAGGTATAGGCGTATTATAAAATCATATATTTCAAATATTATAGTGTCTATGTATAGGTACCAATAAATATATGAAATATTTTGAAATGAGTTTGTACTTTCTAGATTGATATTAATAAAGACTAGCTAGGTATTCGACTTTAAAAGCTCGTCTAGGCCGAAGAACTTACTTGCAAATATTTGAATGAAGGTAAAGGGTCAAATACATGGATATACATAATCAATGTGTTGAATTTGAATTCAATGATAAATCACTGCATATGAAAAATGATTCTGAACGGAGATGATACATTGATACTTATACCTATAATATGTCTATTCCGTACTTTTTTTGTTTGAGTGTGGTGTAAATAACCATACTAAAAAGGACACAAAATTATAAGTATTTTCCTTTGTAAATGTTTCAATTTTGTTTTTTTATGTAAACTGAAAGTTTACATTTTCAATTTTATTGGTGTGGCAGTTTTGCAGTGACTACAAATTACAATGGTGTTTAGTTTTTGTATCTTCTGCTGCAGCTTATAGATAAATTCGACATGGTTACATAGTGCCAAATCATAATGTACCATTGATCGGAACTATCTTATTAATTGTTAATTACATTTTATAATATTAATATATCTACCTATTATGATTAACTTGTTCAAGGTTCGTAATACTTATTATCGTTTACAGTTTTACTGCACCTAACACATATGTACGGAGTAAAATTGCACGTAATGTTGCAATTCTTTTTAGAAAAATGTAATTACTTTTTTTGCTTGGTCGGTATCATAGTTTTTGACTTGACTTATTTTATCTATTGACTGTTAATATTCTAATGATCATCAAACTATGAACCTTTACAAAAAAGATACACAAGCAATATTGTTATTTACAATAACAAACATCCTACTATAGGACATATAAGTGTATAACTCTTTATATGACTATAGGTGTCTAGGTATACAAACTTGGTTCATAGTATATTTGTGGTAGGTAGTAGGTACACAACAAATATATATATATATTCGTACATATATAAATTATATAATTTAGGTACATATACAGAGCCGCCAAAAATGTTGATAACGTTGCATAAAAAAAATGATTGATAAAGATTTCGATTGAATAGACTAAAAATAAATAATATACGTTTTGCGCGTTTACATTTGAAAGTACCGACGCATTATTTATTATATATACATATACATATGTACGATCAGCGCAAGGTTCGAGTTGACAAATTAACAGCAGTCGATACGTTGGCCGGGATACACCCACACAAAGGCACAAAAGCTTCACGAGGGCAATGCACTCTCCAACATGGATTCCTGTGGCCACCTCAGTAACTAAAATGAAAACTACCCAAAATTGAAAATACTTACGTAATTGTTTAATTGTATATGTATTATATTATTTTATTCGTATACATAGGTCGTTGTACGATATGATGGTGGTCGTTCAATACAGATATAACTGTATCATACATACATGATAAATGTAATGTACTGATATACCATATACCTACTATTTATATCAACTTAATATGCATGATTTATTTTTATTTTTTTTAACGGTATTTATGTATAAATACGTTGTACGGGTTAAAAAAACAAGTATAGATAGATGGTATTTATTTTTCCACAAAAAATTAGGTATTGGACGACTGCCAAAAATCGAAAACCTTCACATTCTATACATGTTGACCCCAAAGGCCTAATTTGAGTAATTACTGCAAAAATGTAAAATATAATAATATACGAGATAAAGTATTATAATGTACGAACATTATGTTGACAAATTGTACACTTGTATGTATAATATAAATAGTGATGTTAAAAATAACAAACATCTCAACAGATGGTTTATTGAGTAAATATTAAAATATGGGATGACATTTGGCTAACTCTGTGACTTCCGACTTTGTATACCACTGGTCTATGGATTATTGTTGACGATCGCGATCTTACTGTGGTATTTTGGTAACCAGTAACTGGTCTATGATAATACCTTATAGTTTATAGCTATGTAATACATGTTACATACGAGGCGTTATATTATATTATATTGACATATTGTTATGTATACATATTATTATACAAATATATCAATTAAATACGTATCAACGTATGATATATTATTATTTATTGTGTCAGTGTATAACAGCATAACGACTATAACAACGTTGACATTTTAGTGTCATAATAAGTAAAAACAATACTATGTTGGTTTTCGAATAAAGAAAACGGATTTTGCTACGAAATATTTGTGGAAAGTAAATTGACTTTTGCTATAATATAATACATTTTCATGTACAGGGTGAGGCTATGAGGTTTCCTCGCAAGTGTAACACTGAAATATATATAACATATGCAATAAGGCTCCAGTCGTCATGGAAACCGTAATAATAATAAATTGTACTGTCGATTAAAAAAAAGATTTCGTGAATTTATGTGTCGGATGAACTGGTGGGAAAACAAGACCTAAAAGTCAAAAGACAAAATATAAAATAATAATATGATGTTTTAAATTATTTTATGATGAGCAATTCGCTGAAAATAGTCGGTTTATTGCAGAGACGACGGCAAGACGCAACAGACGACATATTATTATAATATTACTGCGTTATTATCATAACCGACTAACCGAGTGCAGTGTTTCATTGTCTATTTGTCTAGCGAGTGTAGTTGTTATCTAAACGTAAAATAAATAAATAAACACGCAACGTCGTTTGATGATAAGTAATAATATTATTTGCACAATAGTACAATACTGTACATAAGTTAAATACACGAAATACACACATCAATATGGTCGTAATGTTGTATAATATAATATATATTTATTATTATTATTATTATTATTATTCCGAAATGGTCACTGCTCGACGCTCAATTACTATTTACTTGCTGGTCGTATAATCGTGTGCGCGCGCACTCTCGCTCAGGTCGATCTATACATAAACGTTTTACACACGGTTCGGTGTTACAGCCGTGTTTGTGTGTGCGAGTTTGAGCGTGTGTGTGCGTGTTTGTGGGCATGTGTGAGCGTGTTTGAACGTGTGTGTACGACGGGGCTTACTTCTGGTGCTGTTGTGTATGGTGTTGCGACGGTGATCAATACGACGCAGTTTGTGTGACGTCAGCCCCCCGAACGAGCTCGGCGACCAATGGTGGGGGTCTGTCGGTCGGCCTGTAAAACCAAGAGGAGAACCCGATCAGCTGGCTTTCATCTGTCTCTCGCTCTGGTTGTCGGTCCGTTTTCATTTTTTGTTTTCGTTTTTGTATTATTGTTTTTAAATATATACATACATATATTTTTTATTTTTATTTTAATTGTTTTTAATCGTAATAATATATTATTATATCACACTCATAATATATATATACAATTATATATAGATATATTAATTTATTAATTTCTTGTACAGTATAATAAAACGTTAGTCTTAATTTTTATCGTATTAACAGTTTACGAAGATCTCTTGTAAATATAAAAACATTTATATTCTACTGCTATCTGCCATAGTATAAAAGGTGAGTCGTTTTTTAGTTTTCTAATATATTTAATTGTCCCAATTGTATCGGAGTACTGTAATTATTTATGCGATCTGTGAAAACAATTGTAGATTAATGGGCGTTTTGCGTTATATGCCATCCTTTGTTCTCGTTGCGTGTAATAATATATACTTTGCGTATGATAATTTACTTTTTGAAATAAAACATTATTGTGTAGATTAATAATAATATACACCGTACGTCAATTATCGACATTGGTATTATAAAATATTAGAATATTATATTATATAAAAAGGTATTTAAATATTTAATGTAAATAGTTGCACTGTGTAATGGGTAATCGTGTCATTGGCTCACGAGTATTATATCTTCTTTGAATTATTTATTATTACGTCTCTACATTTAACAATACGTCCCATTAACCCAAATATTATCGCACACAGAGGAGTATGACACTGTACAGCGATGATATCGCCTTAAACTGGTTGTCTGTGAAATTTCGGGGCTGTTGTACAGTGTTCGATCGTCGGACAGCGATAATGATTTAGGTAATGGACGAATAGATAATATTATTATGTAAATAGTGAGAAAAAAAATCAAACAAAAACAATAATAATTTTCAATAAATAACACGATCAGCTGTGATCTATTTTATCATCCGATCGTTATAAATATTATAAATAACATATCATCGGCCGTTCAGGGTCACGTCACTACGGACATCGTTGACGGATTCGAACCTTTTACAGCTTATCGTATATTACCACCTAATGCCTATTGAATCGTACAAACGCAGTATTTTACCGAACCCGCAGTTGTCGTTACAAACGCGCGATTGCCGATTGGGTATGACAACAACAAAGTATAATAATAATAATAATAATAATATTATATTTTACATATTTTAATACTGCGATCGAGGATCGTCCGGGCCCTGCGCGTCGTGATGACAAGTGAAGAGACAAAGGAAACGCACACACACACTTGACGGTGTCGTCGAAAGTCAGTAGGAGATCGGTGAGCGTCGAAAGAGAGAAATAGAGAAAGATGGTGATGAGAGGTGATGATATATACAGAGAAAGAACTAAAGAAGGGGTTATTTTAACAGCTATGTATACAATATACATCATATTCTATAATATATTGTTTCTATATACATACGAATGTCTTTGTTCCCGTTCGCCGCCCGAACGCCGCGCGCCACCGCCCACCCGTACTCGTTCGGTCAGCTGTTTCTGTCGCTTTTGTTCCGTAACGATTTATTTTTCATTTTTATTCTCCGTTTACTCGCTACGGGTGCCTGCTATTCCGTGTAATAATAATATAATGTATACATTTTTATTACTGTATGCTGTATACCATTATTCGTTACCTCAGCATTATATTAAAATCGACTTCGAAAATAAGAACGAAATATTTTAACAAAAAAATCGTTATTGCGTAGGTACGACGACGCTAATATGGCTGTACTAGTGTACGACGCGGATATCGTCCGAGTGTCTTATTGTGGCCCTGACGATCGGACTCACCACCTTCCTTCATAATAATACAAATTATAAACACACTCGCGCGTCGAATATAGGACGTTCGGAGGTCATCCGAGAAATTTTTAACGTTAAAAAAATCCGCAATAATAAGTATTTTTAATGTTATATTATTTAACTTGCAAATCGTGCCTACTTTCCCAATTTGATTGAACGCATAATATAATTACTATGTATTTTTACCGTCCTACTATTTCACGTAGGTATATGCCTACGAGGCGACCAATGTCGGTCATTGTTTTCCGAAAATGCATCGCATTAACGATAATTATTCGGATGCAAAATACATTATTACGGCATTATTTGTGAGATGCCAATTACACTCCGCCGGACCGTATATCCCCCGGCAGATAACAGATCTAATATGGTTAGAATAATAATAATACAACTTATAAAACCGTTGTCAGTACCTATAGTACCTACTCACTAGTCAGTTGCATACGGTACAAGATTTCGTCGCAGTGCCATTACTATTACAGAAATACAGAATTACTCATTATATTCGTCTTTGTGTTGCACTGTTGCGATATAACTTGAGGAAATCTAATGCAATACGTATATAATTGCATACCGCCGATTCAGTATTATGGGTTATGACTTATGAGCAAGATAGAGCATTGATGCACAACAAGCATTCTTGTTTTGAGAAGCGCATCGGATGACGATCGAAGAAAATATGACAATAAAATATAATGACCTTGTTTTAATTGTGAATGCAATTTTTGTTTTTAACAAAGCTATATTGTCTCATTCTGTATTTCTTCCAATAACATTTTTTAAATCTTTTTTCTGGTAATATTGATTTTTAACGTGTTAAACTCAAACGAACACTTAAAATATTTCCCGAAGTCATTAATATTTAATCGTTAAAAGGTAAAACATTAATCGCCTCGGGGTGTAGGTGCCCTTGACGCTATTGGTGCTGGATGATCACCTTGTTGTATTTATAGGTAAATAAACAAAATTAAATGTGTATGAAAAAAAACTTTTGTATGAACATTTGAGGAAATTCCCATACTGAGTTATTGTGTTGAACTTTCTCTGTTATCGCGTGTTAATAAACTCTGATAAGTAGTTATTTTTTTTAATACGCAAATTCGTTCCGATGGTTGACCTATGTTATGGTCTAAATTTCAATATACGAAATTATTAACTCATGATGTTGATAAGCGATGCGTAACAACTAACAATTGTTTACCAACTTAGTTCAACAGTCAATACTAAATAAAATAATTAATCCCATTTTTAAATACGGATAATGACCACATATCTTCATCGTCTATTCGTCTGTAATCTAGTCAATAATATGTTTCATTTTCCGTTTAATATAGAAATGAAAAATGCATAAAGTAACCATAATAAAAATACCCAATCGTGTACAAAAGAACGAATCTGGTGAATAAAGGATCTTTTTAACTTGCTGCGCCATTTAAAATGAACGTATCAAACGAAAAATGTCGAAGAAAATAGGTTGGGTAGTGGGAAGATGAGCGAGTGAGAGAGAGTTGGATGATCCACAAACCGGTTTGCTTTGTTGCCTTGTTGTATAAAACTTTGTATAATATATAACTATATACTCGAAATGTACGATATAATGATATTACGACGAATTTCACAATGGCTCTAAAAATGATAATCCGAATCTAAACCAATTTTGAGAATAACTACGTGCTCAATGCTCATAATCCTTTCTCGGATATTTGTAGTATACCTTGAACAATACGATAAAAAGAACACTGTTATACAGTGCGATAAAACCCTTTGTAGAAATGTAGAAGTAAATCAACATTTTTTAATGTTTGTTAAAATTCTTTAGTAAAATGTATTTGCTTTTCGTTGGTATAACTAGTGATAGAATAACAAAATATCAACAAATCTGACTATCTGAGTTCTCGGTATAAATACAAAACTACTGCTGATGAAGTTTGCCAGGAAACTCACTCGAAACACGACACTGAACATTATTTGTACTGATATAAATTATTAATGTATTGATAATGATAGGTACTGCAATTTCAATTTCCGCTTTAAATAACGTTGATGGCCACAGAATCCTTGGAAAATCTGTATAATGTATTAGGAGCACACTCGTTTTATAATTAATTCACAAACAAATATAAAATATCTATTATATTAATTATTACTATTGTATTTAAAAAAACTGTCTTTAATGGACTTTGCAAATGCGCCGTGATTAGTTTTATTTATTTAGGTATCCTACCAACTGACAACAGCGTTGTAATTTTATTTATAATTAGATAGTTACTTGTTAAAGATATGGGTATCTACTATGTGCCGAATCAGATAAAACATATAATGCCCAGACCTAATGAACTTTATTCTTATGTGAAATTGCGTTGGTTTTTGATCGTTGCATATAAGTTAAGACTTCTAACTTAATAAAAATGCAATTATTAACGTCGTATTTGCTAAAAGTTTCGCAGTTTTTCCTGGTCACTGTTTGGCAAATTATAATAGATTAATATTTTGCTTTGTGTTGGCAAAATGTATTGGCAAAGCTCAGCTCGGTGCCCTTGGCTCGAAAATGTGTCGTGTATATGTATATTTGTTTTTGGTGCGTTAAAGTCCACTTGTTTATTAATTTTCGTTCGCTTTCACTTGCCAAAACTTTTTTTCGACATTTTAATTATAGACAATTTTCACTATTTTATTTGCGCAATTTATGATTTTCCTATAAAAATAAAACTTTCAAAATTTATAGTTTTAAATTTTTATTTTTGTTACAGTTCCTGACTGACCACAACTATTCGTGCCACAATTCTACAGAGATAAAATAAAGGTATGTGTACTTGGGTGCTCATAGTTTCTATACCTAATATTATTTTATAATTTTAAATACGACGGTCTCTTGTAGAACTTTAAATTTTAATATTTTACTTAGAATATGTTTAAAATACTAAGTACTGCTGTATAATTTTACATATTTTGACTTGAGTACATCACGCATGTACTCAATGACATACCAATTCTTTTTATGCCACTTGTAGGCTCAATTCAGTTTAACAGGGTCGGTAAACTCCATATGGCCTATATTTTCGATACTTCAAAGTTATTTATTGAATATTGTTCAAACACAACCATAGTCTATTATAGCTCGCAATATATAATGTGTCTTTTACAATAGGTTGTTGGTATGGCATATAGTATACACTATACAGTTAACAATATTTAAAGAAATTATGCTTTGTAATAAAATATTTGCTGCTTACATAATTTTTATAAAAATTAAAGACATACAACTACACACAGTAATAAATATATATATGGATTAATATCAAATTACACAAAATAGAAAAAAGACATATTAAACGTTTACAATAGAACAAATTAAATCTATATTCTTGAAGATAAAACAAAAATAATTCATTGTTTACATTTTTAATTGTTTGTTGCTAATATTAGTCATCATGTAATATATATTATGTCTTAGTAAAAAATAATTCTACTTTATAACAGATAGGTACCTGTTTTAAACATAATATAATCCACATTTAATACGTTCAAGGTCACTACTCGCCACTTTCCAATATCAACAGTGTAACAATATTACTATTATAATAACAAATACGCATAACATAAATAATGAAATATGTATTAAAACGAAACTAGTTTTACTGAACTTGACATTGTTTATTTGTATGTAACTATGACACGTGCAATCAAGTTGTATAATAATTAATTAAACAATTTAGTTTGCATTGTATTTTTTTTTCATAATTCGGTTTACATAAGTCTAATGGGTCAATAAAACTCTGCAAATAAACCAGCTTTTATTCGTTGTTAGCTATAAGTTTATAACTATCATATTTTATCAAGTATTCGCTGTAATGTCAACACATAAAAAAAACCAAAATGATAAACTATTTTTAAGTGTACATACAGCTAATAAAACTGCTATCTTGAAACCATTACTACTTATTATACTTACTATATCTAGTATATCTACTCCGTTTTAACTATATCTTACTAAACTCACGTCATACTTAGGTTTAAGAGTGGTTTATAATTTTTTCTTATTTCTTTTCTTATAACTTGAGATTTGTTTACAGCGAGCCAAAATGTTTTCTAACTTATCCAGCTGGTTCTACGGAAGTAACGCTACCGAAAAAAGTGACGATGTGGTCGTCACTGATCCCTGCCCAGACTCTTTAATCGAAGTTGATGAAAACTTCGAACCCATCGAAATTGACGAATCTGACGACTGGGTTATCCTTGGAAAAGGTAAATTAAATTGAAAAAATTTGTTTTGTTACCAATTTAGTACTTATTCTCGTTTTAAACAGGTGAATCCGAGTCGGATTCTAAAAAGACTGATGATGAAGGGTGTGGAGGTGTTGTCGATCGTCACAGTCGATCATCTTCTTCCTGTCAAAATGAAGAAGGCTGGTTTGTTACTCCTCCTCCTTGCTTCACGTCTATTGGTCCAGCAGACATGGAGACGACACCTTTGGAGAATCTACTCATTGAACATCCAAGCATGTCTGTATATCACAGCCCCACTGTGAGTTCAGTAATGCCTGAGAAAAGAACTCTAGCTTCAATTGCGAGTAATAGTGAATCGTTTGATGACGATACACCAATAGTCTTTGAAGCCGTGAAATGTAAAGAAAAATTACCTAAACATCCCAAGAAGAAGACGTTGAAAAAATCTGTGCCTCTTGATGAATTCAAAATTGCACCTGAAACAATTTTAGGCAATGTACCAAGTGTTTTGTCATCTCCTGTAGTTGAGATGAAAAAAGTCGAACGTTCTCAAACAGAAATGTTTCCAGTATTGGCTCCAATTTCTAACCCCAAAGTATGCTCTCCGCCAGCTATTCGTAGCTATAAAGAAGTAGCTGCATCATTAAAACGGAGACAACCAAAAAACGACATGTCTGAAGTAAAACATGTTAAAATTGAATCCAAAGTCGAAGTTGTTGAGGCACCTCAAATAGTTTTGCCTATGGAAGAAGAAACACAGACAGCTGTGAAAGTCTTTACTCCTAAAAAAGTCATGAAAAAAGGCCGCAAACCACCATGCCCATTGCCTCATCTAATGAAAAATGAGTCGCAAAAGATGCCAAAAGAAATAATTGTTCCTAAAATCCGTGCCCAAGAACGGTTGGTCAGGTTGAGTTCCTTTAGCATCATACAATCTGATGTGCCAAAAAGCTGTAAAACGCCAAAAAGAAATGCTATAAAACCAGTCATTGAAAAGCAACAAAAGTTGATCAGTAATTCAACAATTTGTGTTGAAGCACAAAAACCTGTACCTGTTGTAGATACTGAAGAAAAAAAGAAAAAGAAGGTACAACAAAAATCTATTGTCAAAGAAGTAAAACATGAGATAATAGAGTCTCGTCCGATTACCCAAACAGCAGTGGTAAGACCGAAATGTGATGTAATTGAAAAGAGGGACCAAAAGTCTCCAGTCAAAAAGGAGAACATCATCATACCATTGACGACTTCCATTGCCCTTAATTCTTTAGTGTCTCGACCTGAAGAAAATGCTTACAAACACGAGTTGCTTAAAAGAGAGCTGGCTATGATAGCTGGCACCAATAAAGCACAGAAGGTAAGATCAGCTACTTTATTATGACCATTTAACTTTGAATTTTAAATCAAAACTTAACATTTTAGAAGAAATTATTCCATGATCTTATATAAAAATAATTAACAGCATAATTTTTTTTTCTTATAAAATGTATTAATTTACTTAAACATATCATTTACAGCTGCAAGCTCACAGAGAAACTCGTATTTTAAGTCGCAACCAGCTGACACATATCAATCGTGTGAATATGATGTTGAGTGCAAGTAACAAAAGACTGAGGAGGGCCGACAAGAACATGCGACCGTCTGGTGCTAACAACAATCGTAAATGCTGTTAACTCTAAATAATATTTAAAAAATCAATTATACTGGCTTCTAATATAATCAGTTAGTAAAATTATAATAGGTTGAAATAATATTATTTTAGCTTACATTGGGTCAAGGGAAAAAATAACAAAAGATACAAAAAAAAGTAAAAAATATTAACAAAATAGAAAAGTATAAAAAATTAAAACTAAAAAAAAAATGCGTGGCTATTAATTATATAATTATTATATCCAGTTTATAAAAATTAGTACACAGCATGATTTATAATTTTTAGTAACTGATTAATTAGGAAATTACCTATTTTAAACAATTTATTTCTTCTTCAATATATGCACTAATAACTTTTAGCCAACATTTGGCTATTATATTGCTATTGTATTTAAATAAAATAAAAATATATTAAAAAATAAAAAAATATATTGATGATTTATATATTTCATGATTATAAATCAGATAGTTATATTATAATATATGGTAAGTGTTTATAACTGAAGAGAAATAAGAAATAAATTATTTAGAATAATGTAAGACAGTGTTAAGTGTTATTAAATTTACCTAATATCACACAAATGTTGTTTAAGTTAAACATTCATTGCTGTTTAAGTTACCAAGCAATAAAAACTAATATTTGGCCAGTATACAGATATTTTATCAAAAGTATTTCCTCCATACATAAAAACCAAAATAAATTATTATTTGTACCTGATAAAAATGACCAGCTTTTTGAGCAGTTCTATATTGTATGTACACCTTTTTAAAAATTAAGTTGTATTTTAGGTTCTTTTTAATTTATTTAAATTAACAATAATATTTAAAATGTATGTAGTTATATTTTTAAATGTAAGGTGTAACATCATTACATTTTTACTCTAAATCGATTTTAGTAAATGTGGTGACTATTCCTTACATTTGTGTGTATAATATTTATTTATTAATTTCTATGATTTACCATATTATCATTAATTCAATATATTATATTATCTAACGCTGTAAGATTATTATTTAAATGAAAAAAAAAATATTATATTATATTATACATAAATATTATATAGCTGTACATTATATATAGAAAAAAAATCATATTATATAAGAAGATAATATTATTTTATATGACCATAATATGTCAAAATATGTAACATCTAGTTTCTATATATTATAATAATTAGGTACATATAAGTATTGTTTTACTTCTTAAATTTCTTTACTATATTTATTATGAGCACAGATATTGGATTTGTAAACAATTTATTTTAGTAATTTGATTACACTACATTATTTTCTGAATTTTTCAGAGTTGTCTGAGTTAATTGTTAAATATTTGATAACGTTTAAAATCATACATATATAATATTAGATAACAGGTAGATAGTATTGGACAGTTGTTCATCAATCACTACTAAAAATCAGCAATAATTTGAGTTCATAATATTGTTCATTGATTAGAAATATATATTATCATATTATTGAGATCATTTTAATTGTCATTATATAAGTATGATTATAACACTGTTTTAAATATTATAATAGAGATACCTAAGAAATCCAATTTTAAAAAGGCTTTCTATTACATTTTATGTAAGTATCATAGTTGTGTTAACTATTCGTTTGTAATGTGTTATTGAAAGCATTTTTCAAAGAACACTGTGTTTGGTTTGATATTTAATTATAAATGGTATTGGTATTAATAATACTCATAAATTATTTGTTAAATATTACCTTTTTTAAATGTGTACACTAATATACTATTTATAATATTTATATTTATTTCAAACATATAATTTACATCAACGTTGTTATAAATTGTTGATAGCTTTTTTTTATTTGAATGACTATTTAACCGTATACACAATCAATAAAATTAACGTGTACACAAGACCATGAGATTGTAAATGCTTTATTATAATTATTACTATTATTATTATTGATATTTTATCATTTTTCTGATTTGGTTTGTAATATTAAAAATAAAAGTATGTCAAAACCTGTGATCTAAAATAAAACTTCTATGAAGCAATAAGATAAAAATTATGTAAAAATTAGAATGACATTCTTAAAATGTATTTAAATCATTTGTTCGATTTATATAATATTGTAAAAAAAACCTATGAATGTATCAACTATATTTTGTAGATACAAAACTTGTTAAAAAACCGCTGATTGCACATGTCAACTATGTATTAAGCGAAGAACATGTATTGCAAAATGAAGCTATATAACGACTTTATTAATATGTATCATGCTGTAATTAATGTACTTAACAAATTATTATGTCCACCATTATTTTATTATTTGATTCATAAATTTCCAATTTTGTTAGGTATTTTATTTATTGATTTAGTGACACAAGAATCATATTTACATTATATATTATAATAACTCGTAGGGTACAAGTTTGTGTTCAAAAGAAAAAGAAAAAAGATTGATAAAATAAAAAAAAGTATTAAATTATCTGAACATAATTTTCCGTGTTCTTTATTTACGTAATTATGCTATTCCTATTCTTTATGTTAATCCTGTTACCTGTGTTTCATATGTTAATTTTCAATACTAAATGGTAACCATTATTTATTATTAGTTTCTAATTTCCAAAAGATATTTTATTTTTTATTTAACTGGAGGATTACTGTAAATTATGATAATTATTAATGATTATTAATATTTTATAACCTTTGTTATAATAATAATTCTGTACCTTTATTTAATCAATTTGCCACTTCATTATATATAGCTTATTGCCAATGAAAATCTCAATATTTTTTCTTGCTCATTCCCCTTAGTTGTATCTTATAATTTGTCCTATGCAATTAATATGTTTTAATTAAATAGTTTAAGTAGAGTTTATTTGTTATGTATATTATGTTTCTAAAATGTTGGTTTTTGGATCTTTGTCTGTATGGCTGTTAATATTAAAACATTAATTGTTCTATTTTTACGTTGATATTGCAAAGCTTATTCTGCCCATGTACCTCAAAAATTAAACCTTCTAAATATGCACATACATTAAATATAATTCATTAAATTTCAAATTAGAAAAAAAAGATATAATTGGAAATTCTATACTTTGACGATCAAACAAAAATTTAACAGAATTTTCAAGAAAAAATTTTTTATTATAATATTTATATAAAAAAAAATGTAGATTATTAATAAAATAGGCAAATCAACACACTCAGTATTATAAAGTTGATATATTTTTATGAAGAATGTTTCTATATTAGATGCAATTACTTTTTTTCATAAATAATTAATAAACAAAATATTATACAGAAATAATAACAAATAACAATGAATAAAAAAAATACATGTAATGCTCTGTTGGTATGCAATCATATTAATTAATTACATACACACATGAAGCTGAATAATGTTGATGTCAATAAGAGTTTATTAATAAAAATAAATATTCTCATTTAAAAAATAATAAATTTGAATTGCACACTTTTGAGATATTTTGAGCTGTAACGGTTTTATTGGATGATTTAATTCACTTAAGTTGAGCAATTTAAATTGGCCATTTGCATGGTAGAACACAATTTTTGTTTGGCGTTTGTTAATATTCTTATTGTTTCACCCATCAAGTGTTCAGCTTCAGTATGGTTTACTATTAACAACCACGATACATTGTCATTAAAGTGTAAGCCAAGTGTCTCTTCGTTTTTATCCTGTAGACAAGAAACCAAAATGAGTTAATTTTAGATTTTTTAAAAATAAATGTAATTTTAAATTTGCATAACTCACAATACGATTAAATGTACTCATTTGCTGAACATGAGCTAATGTTGGGAAATGTTCGTCGTAAGGTATAAGCCAAGCACATTCACCACCTAATACTACCAGTTCATATTCGGTAATCACAATACCTGGCAAGTCAATAATTTCTACAAGTCCTAAAATAAATATTATATGCATTCATGATTCATTATAATTGAATATTTCTACAATAAAAGTATACATATAATTTTAGTTTAGGCTAATAAGTGATAATAACCATATAAGATTTGATTTAAAGTAAAATAATATTAAACTCATTAATTACCATCATCTGTGATGATTGTCGCACACTCACAGAACACAACATGAATAATTGGTAAGTGCAGTTCATTTTTGTAAAGAATATTGTTGACGTATAGGTAAGAATTAGTGTTTGGGGAAGAAACTAATACCTCTCGCTGTCCAAATGGTTTAATCCCTGAAACAGTGGTGAAAGGTGGAATAGAATAATTGGTATTCAATATTTTAATAATCACATACTTTCTAAAAATGCAATTAATCGTAAAGTGATATGTGACACATAGAGAACAAATGTATATTTGATGTCTCTTTCTGGTTGACTGACACATATGGCTAGACCAACATTCCAAGGAAGAGAAGCTATGGATTTGACAAGGCTCAACCGATGTCTAGACACTTTTTGTAAGCTATACAAAATTATAATTTAATAAAGCATAGGAATAACATATTAATCAATTTTTCAACTGCTTACAGTTCGTCTGGTTGGCCAATGAATTTAAATACATATAACGATTTGTTGGATATGATCACACACCCATCAAGTCGGTGATCTGGGCTTGTCATTATACAATTACACTGTTAAGTAAAAAAAATTGTAGCTTCAATTAAAAAAATATTTTAAAATAAATTTGATTATACAACATACTCGGAAAACAAGTACAAATTCTTCATTATCCCCAAAAAATTTATGTTGAACATATGATTTTAACCTTGGGTCAATTGATACAAAATCATCATAAGAGAACTTAATAGGCACATCTACTACTGATGGAATCCTAGAATCGATGCTACTTCCTGTTTCATAATGCAAACAATATACATACTTGAAATGTATTCAGTAGACAAGTATATCATGTTTAGTTGTTAATACAGTACCTCTCATTGTTGATGAACTGTTGTTACGTTGTTTTCGACTTTCATAAGCAGTACACACACTATCTGTCATTGATCCTAATATTAATATTAATATTAATTCAATTAAAATGCAACAAAAACCGCAGTAAATACAAATGTAAAAGATAAATTTTTGAGGCGTTAAAAATGGAATTGGTTAATGTTAGTTATTTTATTAAGATTTGTACTTATTTATGATAAAATAACTCAGCTATTAGA